TTCTCCTAGCAGTCTCAGAAAGTTAACTTGGCATTGCTAGATGGGATTAAAAATTCTACTGCTAGTACAATGATAGTTCAAACTTTGTCTGTCATTGTCCTACATTTACCCTGTAAAAATACCAACTAGAAGAGCTCTTCCCTTGTGCCAGTCAGATTACCAGGTTTCCTCCTATGTATACAAGGCAATAAGGATGCACAAGCATGTAAGTAAATAATCTTCAAAAGCATATTGGGACATTAGTAAACATTCATAAGAAACTGATGAGTTAGGGCATAATTTAGAATCATTAACTGAGGCAGTCCTTATAAAGATAGTTCATTACTATTAAAACAGGAAAAAACAAACAAGTTTCTGTTCTCCCAGGTGGCAATTAAATGATTGTTGTGTTCTGAGAATGTGTCTGGACAAATGAAGTCTTGTATGCATTCCAGATTACTTGCAGCCCCAACATTCCTTTGGAATTTATACTTTTATTTTAGTACTCAATTTCTGCTGTTTCAAGAGTAGGTCTTAAGGTGGTGGGGGGAGAGTAAAGCATAATTATGAAATAGGTCCCCAGTTACAGTCCCACAGTTAAATGGCCAAACCTAATTTGGCCCAAAATTATGACATAAATGCTTGTATAAACGTTGGAATACTCAGCATAATGGGAGATGGTGGGTTGGGACTCCAATTCTTCCTTCACAACAGTGTCAGAAGATCTCATTCCTATAACACGCTGCTCACAGCTGACTGTCTACATGAAAACTTTAAAATGAGTCCACAGTGAGGAGTTATTACAATCCAACTCAACATTACCTCTTACTTGCTTACTATATTTAGTGTTGCATAGCAAAGAAAAGATTTATATACTAAAATGAAGCAGGAAATGAACAAGATAGAAATTTATCAATCAATGCCTAAAACACAGCACAAGGTGTCTAGGGAGAAGTGAACAAAGAAAAATGTTATCTTAGTGAAGTTACCAACTGCATGGTTTACAAGAAAGTGTTTAACACGTGAAAGTGTTTACACTTTTCAATGTAATTACTGCAATTTATCTATTTAAACACCTGGGAGATGCATTCTACAGGTCCTAAAGTTATATGCAAAGATGCCTATATAATCATATTACCAGCGTCACACAGGTCATTCCTAGACACATGCTGTTATGAAATGGCTTAACTCATTTGTGCTGAGCACTCTGCCCTCACCCTTGGCAAAGCACTGCTGAAATCCTAAGCATGGTAATCACTAACAGACTGCTCATGTTTTCAGAGGGTCATCAGGCCCACAGTCAAATGTGTTAGTGGGGCAGGGCTAGAATACTCAAGTCTTGTAGAAAGCACAAAAGAGAACTGCTTGTTTCACAGCCAGCTTTTCATGCCTTTCAGATTCCTATAAACCAGCAGAATATTGCAAGAGTTTGACTGTAAACAAGGCAGGGCTTGAACCAAAGACATTTCTGATAATTTTAGGCTTAACATTCTGCAATTTGCAACCAATTTGAGATAGCAGCCTTTCAATCATGAAAGACAATGGCCATTTTGTCAATGTCTACCAAAAAACTGTACCACCTCTAGCCTTATCTGAAAAAAATAAATAAATAAATAAAAATTTTCTAATATTCTTACAGCCTGGACCATGACAAGACAGTCTTAAGAATTATGACGAGTCAAAATATATTCACATTAATATTTGAAATATTACCTGTATTATAGGTTGTGTGATAAAAGGATGAAGGTATGGCATTAGCTTGCAGTAGACATCAGCAATATTTAAATACTGTGCTACCACAGTGATAAATCCAACTGCACCATAGCGTATCCAAAGATTAGGATGGCACAGGAAAGGTGCTGAAAGAAAATCAGGCCATTAAAATATAACAATATTAAAGAGAGGGGATCATCTTGCACACAGCAGCCTGTGGTGTCATTTCCTTCCCCTAGAATTACCCCTAAACTAAGTCTTCCCTCCTGCAGACAGCCAAGGTTAAAGCACTCATAGTAAGAAAATTATTTCATGGACTTCACTGGACCCGTGGTGCCCAGCTTCCTTGATGTTGCCAAACATCATGGGTTTATGAAAGGCAGGTCCTGCCTGACTAACTTGATCTCCTTCTACGACAAGGTTACCCGCTTAATGGATGAGGGAAAGGCTGTGGTTGTGGTGTACCTGGACTTCAGTAAAGCCTTTGACACCATTTCCCACAGCATTCTGCTTGAGAAACTGGCTGACACTGGCTTGGACAGGCATGCTCTCTGCTGGGTTAAAAACTGGCTGGATGGCTGGGCCCAAATAGTGCTGGTAAATGGAGTTAAATCCAGCTGGAGGCTGATCACAAGTGGTGTTCCCCAGGGCTCAGTGTTGGGTCCAGTCCTGTTTAACATCTTTATCAATGATCTGGATGAAGGAATTCAGTGCAGTAAATTCGCAAATGACATCAAGCTGGATCTGCTTGAGGGTAGGAAGGGTCTACAGAGGGACCTGGATGGGTTGGATCAATGGGCTGCAACCAACTGTATGAGGTTCAACAAGACCAAGGGCCGGGTCCTGCACTTGGGTCACAACAACTCCATGCAACGCTAGAGGCTTGGGGAGGAGTGGCTGGAAAGCTGCCTGGCAGAAAGGGACCTCAGGGTGCTGGTTGACATCCAGCTGAATATGAACCAGCAGTGTGCCCAGGTGGCCAAAAAGGCCAACGACATCCTGGTCTGTATCAAAAAAAGTGTGGCCACCAGGACCAGGGAAGTCATCCTTCCCCTGTACTTGGCACTGGTGAGGCCACACCTTGAATACTGCATCCAGTTTTGGGCCCATCATTACAAGGACATTGAAGCACTGGAGTGTTTCCAGCAAAGGGCAACAAAGCTGGTGAAGGATCTGGAGAACAAGCCTTATGAGGAGCAGCTGAGGGAACTGGGGTTGTTTAGTCTGGAGAAGAGGAGGCTGAGGGGAGACCGAATTGCTGTCTACAACTACCTGGAAAGAGGTTGTAGGGAGGCGGGTGTGTGTCTTTTCTCCCAGGTAACTAGTGACAGAACAAGAGGCAATGGCCTTAAGTTAGGCCAGGGGAGGTTCAGATGGGATGTCAGGAAGTACTTCTTCATGGAAAGGGTTATCAGGCATTGGAATGGGCTGCCTAGGGAGGTGGTTGAGTCACCATCCCTGGAGGTGTTTAGAAGATGGCTAGACGGGGTGCTCTATGGTTTAGTAGTGGACAGGTATGGTTGGACTCTATGACCTCAGAGGCCTTTTCCAACCAGGAGATTCTATGAGCAAACACCACAATTTTCCTGTTTATTCATTTCACTCTCTAACTGTCAACTCCAGATTTACAAAGGAGACTAATCCAAAAATAAATCCTAACCTTATTCTGGACAATTACGGAGAATCATAATACCAGTGATTTATTTTGTTTTCTTTTCAAGTGAATACTTGAATACTTGATTCCTTCATTTTTCCCCTCTCTTTCTTGAATAGTCACTATTTATATTTTAAGGTTATCAGCAGGTTTTCTTGTCAGGCTTAGAAGTGCACCTCAGTTACATGAGTTTTAAGAAGTTGTAATCAAGGGACAGTAGGAGATATAATCACAGATAATCTGCCCCAAATTCTGAGTGCATTTGAAAAGCCATAACACTAGGAAGAAGCAGACTACATCTCAAAAGATAGTCTTTTCTTTTCCATAAACAGCTAGTAAATCTTGGGCACGTCTAAATGAAACTGATAAGCCTGATGATGGAGACACCTACTCTGTATTCAAGGTTCTACTGAGTTAAATGGGATTTTAGGGTGATAGAAACAGGATGAGAAAGGATGACGTATTGTCTGAAGGACTGGGTTCCCCCCTTCCTCAAAGGCTGGTGGGTAAAAGTTTGCAAGTTATGTGCCCGATCAACTTCCAAAAGTAACCAGGAGTCTTTCCTTATAGCAGGTTGGCATGAAGAACCAGGAAACATCTTAAAGCAGAAGGTTTTTGGACTCAAGGCTAACTGGTATTTGCTGCTGTCCTATATAAAATCAGAGAAGATGCTTTCAATTTGTTCCACCAATATTACTGTTTTACAGTTCTCAGCACTAACATGGTCCAACTAACAACAGTTCATAACACAATTTTGTGTAGATTCAAAAACAATACTTTAAGTTTGCATATGGGACAGCTAAGCTGTGATGCTTTACAGAGTACTAAGATTTATTTTCTTAAATAGGAAAACAACGTATTCGCCAGGATTCCAACTTACCGATATCACAAGCAAACTCATAAATATGGGGCTTTTGCAAGAGTCCTAACTGGCACATACAAGTAAGAGCATTGAGGGCTTTATAAATGACAAATTCTTCAGCATCACTGAGACCTTGCTGAAGCAGAGGTTTCAGTATTGATGAGCTTTGCCAGCCAACATAAGCAGCAACACCTGGAACACAAAAAGAACACAGAAAAATCAAAAGTAGCACTTCCTTGCCTTCCCTCACCAAAGTCTAAAATTGCTGTCCCACAGAGACATCTCAAAACAGATTGTTAGTTGTTAGGAAAAAAAAAGGAAGCTGCTTTCCTTTCAAAGTTAGATCAATATTCTGAAAACTGTTCAACATAAGCAGATCCCTGTGCCTGCAGAGTTCCTTATAGGAACCCTGTACAGATGTCAGCACACAGCTGGTCAGCAGAAGGCTAGAACAGCAAGGCAAAACCAGCAGTGCTCCTAAGGGGTGGGGATACAGTGCCCAGATTTGTACATGGAAAGGACAAAGTAGCAACAATTAAAGGTTCTGTTAGCAGGATTTTGTCATTTAACTTAGCAGCAATGGTAGTTTAAATATTATTCAGATTCCTGAAAAGACTGAACTGGATACCTGACTAATTATCAGCAAGGAAAATCTGTAACATACATTTACTTATCCACAAAAGAACCACTAATAGTCAAAAAGGAACTGTTAGAACAATTTTCCAAAACTCTTCCAGCCTGAAATGGTTGCAAGATGTGCTGTTTAGTTAACCATTCTCAAATTATTTGCCATAATGAAGCTAGTTTTTCCCTAGCTTCAAAAATAAATCCAGTTCTAAAATATATTTCAAAATCTTAGAAAGAATACAAGATCAAAACCAAAATTAAAGTAATTCCTTTGAAGCTGCTGGACAAAAAAAAAAGAAAAAAAAAAAGTATCAGCTACATCCCAGTAAAATAAATTGCTTTTCTCTTCCTTTCTCACATGAAAGCCAGCCAGTGTCCACACGAAACTGTCACCTGGAATTGCTTGTTTAGATTAGATAACCCATCTACAATACTTAATCTCTGGCAGTGGTCAGGGAGATGGACCTTGTTGAATTTCTGATCTTTCCTCTAGCTTTACATCCATGAAGCTAACATTCATTCCCACAAACAACTGAGCAAGTCCTCTGATTGTTCTTAAGAGGAAAAAAAAATTAGTTTTTCACTGAACAGCTCAGGCTTATTGTTGCTATTGTCACATGTGGTACACAGGACAGACCATAAGTGCCTCTGCTTCTAACCCAGTGATTTGGGATTGATAAATACCAGAAAATTCAGTATCTTCCTGTCAGAATCAACATTAAACACAATAACTGTACCACTTCTACTCTAATAAGGTAATAATCAATATACTTGTTCATGTATTAATGCTGGGCTTTGCAAACAGTTGCTAAAAGGAAGAGAGGAAGAAGAAATGGCACAAGTAGGACAAATCCCCTCAATGTCACTGTTACAGAAGGGCATCTGCCCACAGCCACAGGCAGCAGTATCCGCACATATTTAAAGATGAGACAGAGAGCTCAGTTTTAAAGGTGTGCAAAAGCTTTAAGTAAAACTTGATCTGAATTCTCCTGAGGAGGTTTTGAACGGATAGGGTGAGAGAAGGGAGTTAAAAACACATCTCTCTACATGCCTTTTGCAAGAAGCGAGGACTTGTGCTTTGTCTATATCCCATTGCTCCTTCTAAACGAATTCTGACAAGTCACCAGCATCACGTCTTGGCAGTGTTTGGTAGCACAGCATTTTGTGGTTTCCAGTCATAATGGAAGGTGTGCCTACCATAACAGCCCTGCTGGAAATTTCATCATGCTCCTTTTTTGTGCCATGCACCTGAAGTACCATTTCCCCCTGCCCCAGGTACTGCAATCTGCTATGGGAAAGTTTTCTTGACCTGCAAATCCTGAGCACTCACTCTCAGCAACAGTCATGTGGAATAATTTCCAACATACATGGAACATCAGATATATTAAACAGCTGATACACAAAGCTAGGATGTCATTAGTTAATTTTTTTTAAACCGTTATTAAGTTTTCTAAGCTGACAGAAATCTTTAAGTGAGGTTTTAAGGCACTAAGGTGTTCAAATTATAATTTTAGCCTCTACAGATGCATGGTTCTCATTGTATGCACATGAAGTTAATGGGACATGCGCAGCTGTGAAGTGATGCATCTACTAGACAGCTTGCAGAAATCTTAGCATTTATTTATCATAAATTTAGGCTTTTTCAGTTAGTGGCTTTAGCAAAGACTCAAAAAATTAAAAAATAAATAGCATTTAGAGTTTATTTTTCATGTTAATCTAAGCTAGTCTTAACTGCCTGTCTTATCTGTATTAAATATTTGGACTAAAAGAAAAATATATTCATATTTACAGTGGTGTGCCTTCACTTCCTAAAGAAACATTTACACCCAATAATTCAGCAAAGTCTTTTCCTATAAATTATAGAAATTTTTATAAGAAAGGGCTTTTATATGACTGTTAACAGTTTCCAGGATATGCAAAAATTAATTTATGTTATTACTTCTCTAATCCATCTGGCTAAAACCAAACACTTACCAACAATGCTGTCAAAGAAAGCTCCTCTAAGATGCCAGTCATTCTTATCATTTAAGAAAGTGATCATATGAGACAAAAGAACATCATTGGCTTTTTGACGTCCAAAAAAGACACAGAGACGCGTTATTCCATTTTCCATCAGTGTTTGTTTCACAATATTCTCTGGATCACTTAGCAAAGTCACAACTTTCTGCTGGACCATTTCATGCAAGGCTTGCAACTCTGCAAGAGACAGAGCGAACACTTTGGGTTGTCAAGAAACAATACTACCTGCTGCTAAAGGAGCTACACTGATAAGTCATCCTGAAGAACACCCAGCCTGGTAGGATGGACTTGGCAAGAGAACCTCAACAGTTCCAATGACTTGCTTACCAAACACTTCATACTAAGCACAAGGTGGTGGCAAAGCCAGAGAGTATAGAAATGCGAGACACTCTTACCAGATCAATATATTCTAAACTTGTCATAACTTCAACTATGATGATCCAGCTTATTTTATATATGCATATGTATAGGTGAAATGCAAATGTAAAGAAGCATCAGAATGAGTCGGCAATAATGTCACAACAGTAAACAAAATACTTCAAGGCAATTCTGGTTCGATATCTTTATCTATCAGTTTCAAAGTTTGTGAACTAACAACAGATCACAAGTATATTTTTAATTATGTACACAGATTGGATTAATTAAGGATACAGGGAAGAATAAACACTACTTGGAAAACTGAGTACTTCCAATTTCATTAACTATCAGTAGTCACCCTAACAATACCGATGAAAACTTTTAAGATGAACTTGCCCATACCTTCTACTCCATGATGCAACCAAAAAAAATTCTATTAAACGGAAGTAACAGAATTGTTAATGCACTGGCTATTACTCAAAGCTATACAAGGGAGGTTCTCAAACAAGCAGCACAAAGATTTCAGCTATTGCTGTCCCGGCTTTGCAGGGGTGATTACTATTTGCCTGCAGTCAGAAGACCAGCTAATTTGCTTTCTATCGTGACTCTGTCTGACAGTCACATGAAAAATTTGCCTTCTGGGTTCAAATTTCTCATGCTTGGTTACTTAAAGGGTAAAAAGAATAGAACTATTCAAATTTTTTTCCTTCCTTGTGTTAATTCTGTCATCTCCAAGCTATTTTAAGGGATAGGGGATAGCATTTCTTAGAAATAGAGCCTGTACAATGGGGCTTCCTTTCTGACAAGTAATTCTGAGCACTCCATGCTTATGTGAAGGAACTTGAAGGGGATTTTTTATGTTTAGTTTTGGTAGGGTTGTTTTTGTTTGGTTTTTTTTAAAGTATCATCCTGCAACTAGTTAAGACATAACTGAAACATGCCTTTTTCCCTACCAAATGGAATATGCATGGAAAGTTTACCGATTATTATTAGTCCCAGATTGATCTACTTAGCCCAAAAGAGAAATGGTTTTGAACCACTAACTCTTCCCAGCTTAGAAGCACCAGAGTGGGGTCCCTCTCATGGGAGAC